TAGGGGAGATTCGGGTCCAGCTACAAAGCTGGTCTCTTCCCTACCCATACAGCCTTATTGGGCAAAACCTCCCCAGTTTTAAGTTTGTCTCTTCTCAATTGTTTTTACTATCTCCCCCACACCCCACCTCCCACCTGAGTACATGATGCCTTTTGTCTATGGCAAATCCTTCCAGGTGCCCAAATAGATGAGTGAAAGGTAATCAGTTCTGGGCAGGAAAATTTGCAAACGACCAGCCAACCAGTCTTAGATGGACAGCTGACGTGGGCTGGTTTTTTGTCGTTGCTTTGGTTTTTGTATGATTTGTGTGTGTGACAGTGATTTTATCACTCATGCTCACAATGTCACCTTGTTTCCTGCTATAACATTTCCTCCCGATTCCCAGCAGGGAGTCACTGTATCAAATCATCCTGGTGTCCTACCAAGGGCTCCATGGTTTCTGGGGACTCTGTTGCTGGGACATCTTCGAGAGCCTTTATTTTGGAGGATGGAGGCTCCCAAGCTAAGTGGTGAGACTGGGAGTGGGGTGGGGGATGTGACAGAAGCAGGCTCTGGGGTCAAGTCCCAGCATCGCCATTTACTGGCTATGTGACCTTGGATGAGTTTCTTTACCTCTCTGGACCTCAGTTAATTCATATATAAAACAGGACTGATATCATCTACCTTGGAGGGTTCCTGGGACAGTTAAAGGAGATAATTATAAGAGTAATGCTTAATAAGTGTAGCTATATTATCACTTCTTCAAGCAGCTGTCTCCTGTATATTTCTGAGTACCTACATCCAGTACCTACATCCAGGCTAGGCCTTGTGCTGGATGCTGGGGACACACAGGGACATCAGACCTGGAGCTCATCATAATCAGGCCTGGCAATTATAAAGTGCAATCTAAAGTTTGGGGGATTATTTCACTGGCAAGGAGCACCTGGAGGGCAGGGATTATGTCTAGTTCAGCTATCTTGGCTGCCCAATGGAAGCATGCCGTTACCAGCTGGTACTTTTTGGTGGGCAAAAAGTTTCACGGCCAAACTGGCCCAATGTGGTACTTTCTGACTTCTGGCTGTTCCTCCCTTATGGAATAAAACACACAAGGAGAGTGATGTGACACTGCTGAAGTCATCCAATCTGTCACCACAACCCACTTGAAGGCAGTCCCAAAAAAGGGGCTCTGGCAAGTGGCAGGGGCAGGGGACAAATGTGCGTGTGTGGGAGGGGGCACTTTGAAGGGGATCACTTGCATGTTGTTAAATACCATCTGTTTATTCCTTTAGTGGTGGAATTTTCTGGAATAGCACAGAGCGGAAGTCTGAGCAACGTGCCCCGGGTGCCTAGAGAGAGAAGCCCCGTGCAGCCTGGTGGAGACTTCCGGGAGGAGGGATCCTCCTCTGTTCAGACTCGGGATGTCCAAGTCCTTTGCAGACCATGAGACCCTAGAGGGGCAACCTCGAATAAGCCGGGTACTTGATAGGTACAAACGTGTCAGGGAGGCCCCACCTGCCTCTCCCCTCCACACCCACACCCCCTTGAACGGCACCCCACCTCATTCCAGCCCACCCACAGCTGCCTCTGAAGCCCTGCAGCCGCCACATGACGACATCCTGGCCTCTGGCCTAAGCCCTCTCTTAAACAGCCCCCGTGAAGAGCTATTTGCAGAGGTCCCCATTTGGGCTTTGGGGGCTTTGCACACAAGTGCTTGATTTTAAAAAGAGAGAAAGAGAAGTCAGAGCAGGTGCCTCCATTTCCATCCTGGCCCCACCCCGCCCTGCTAGGGCTCCCAGGGCTCTTTGTGCTGTGTGTGTCTGCATGTGAGCGTCATCCCCACATCTGCCGTCTCGTCTCGTGACAAGGGCCTTTGAAGCTCCACAATGACGCCATCTGCCAGGGACAGCCAGTTGGCTCACTTGGGGCTGACCCCCACGGTTGCCGTGGCAACCATGATGGTGGCCCGGGGCCTTCAGAAACACCACCAGGCTCATGCCGTCAGGAGGTTCCCTCAGCATGGCCCATGCTTGGGCGGAGGTGGATGGGGCCGAGATGGAGGCAAGGCTGATGGCCAAAGGCAGGAGGAGAAGGAAATGGAGTCATGGAGGTATCTGGCCTCTGGGTTACGAAGGACAGGCTCTTCCCCTGTGACTTCTTGGGACCTCCGGCTCTCAGAAGTCCACCCCCATCAAAAGAGGCCACATGGCCTTCACAAAACATGCCATCGTCGGGCACCTCTGCACATACTATTCCCTGTGCTAAGACCCTCTCTGCTTCACTCATCAGTCTAGAAAATGTCTCTACATCCTTCAAGACCCATCTCTGGGTTTCCTTCTCCAAATGTGCCAAACCAAAGGCAGTTGTTGCTACCACAGTGCCCGGTGCACAGCTCCAGTGGAGCCCCTGCTGGACGGGACTTAGCTCTCTGCGTGCTCACACCTCTTCCCCACCAGCTGGGGAGCAGTTTAAGGACACGGAGAAAGCCAAATTCAGCTACCTCTCTTGCCCAGCACGGGGCCTGGCACGTGGTAAGTTCTCGCAAAAGTTTAGCGAATAAATGAAGTTGCTTCATTTCTCAGCCACTTGCCAAGGGGTTTTCACACTCAGAGCCTCAGATACGTGGCATATGGGAGCAAATAAGAAGGGGACATGAAGATCCTTCTCAACCCTACAATGAAACATGGACAAAGGGGGTTTCTCTCTCACTGCCAATGCCGCAGACCCCAGGGCCTCTGAGAAGCAGACCACACCCGCACAAACATGCCGACTTGTGTCTTAGTCTCTGTCTTACTCCGGGTATGCGGTAGGAGTGCTAGGGTAAAACAAACAAACAGACAAACAAACAAAAAACAAAAAGCCCACACCATTTGGGTGCTACCCTGTACGGCCTTGGGTAAAATTACTTGCTCACAAGTCCCCTGGCTTTTGGGTCAAAGGGTTTGTGCATCACCCCCCCAAGTGGCTGACCCAAACTACCTGTGTACCAGATAGTGGATACAGGTCCCCTTGCTGTGCATCCTCCCGATCTCTATTGTGGCAGGTCTGTAATTTCTGCCAGTCTGATAGGAATGAACTGGGTCTTGTATTTTGAATCAAATTCCTCCGATTTCTAGGGAACTCGGGCATCTTTTCGTGGCCAGTATGGTCTCTCCAATGGTCAAGTCCTCACCCATTTTTCTTTTGGGTCACTTAACTTATTCTTACTGGTTTTTAGGAATTCTCTCTGTATAAATTCTGAAGATTATTCCTTTCTTGTACGTGTGACAAATACCTTTTCCCAATCTGTGTCCGGTGTCTTAGCTTTATGGTAGGTGCCCTCTGTTGACCAGAACTTTCAAATTTGTGTGGAGTCCGAAGAGTGGCATAAGTCTGTTGTGAGGCTCATATAAGCACCAGGGTTCTGACACCCTTTGCACCCACATGGCTTTCTATCAGGCAAAGAGCTTCCCTTTGATGATGTCCTTTGAGTCCCATGAGGCCTGCGAGGCAGGGGGAGTAGGGCCTGTTATTGCGATGTCTTGGATAAGATGGAGACATTGTTGCGGACATCGGAACTTTGTGCCTCCTGATATCCACCTCTCTGTGGTTACACTAGTAACTGACCCCTGATTTTTCTCTTGAGGAACCCCACCCGTCACACTCTTTGTTCTTGTGATCTGGCTGGGGCTGGTCTACTGGGATACTCCTTTCACTCTCTAGGCCACAAGGTTGGAATGGGAGCTCAGTGAGGCCAGTGACAGTACTATCTTATCCAGGACTCAGGTCAAATTACTGAGAAGGAGGCACTTTCCATTAGTAAATTCTTTTTGAAAATGAAGCCAGTATAGAGGAAAACAGGACTAAAAAAATGTCTGTTCCGGACAACATTTGTGCCTGGATCTAGCCATGCCTGAGGCTTACCTACATCAAGCCAGCTGGATGTGGGGTTCTGTCTTTTCTGTGACAGAGTTGTGACTAATACAAATCTAGTGAGAGCCAGGAATAAGAGATCCAGGACTAGACCCTTGATCTTGAATCATTATTAAAAGTATGAAGAGGTAGAGACGATGGACTCTGAAAAACAAACTGAGGGTTCTAGAGGGGAGGGGGGTGGGGGGATGGGTTAGCCTGGTGATGGGTATTAAAGAGGGCACATTCTGCGTGGAGCACTGGGTGTTATGCACAAACAATGAATCATGGAACACTACATCAAAAACTAATGATGTAATGTATGGTGGTTAACATAATAAAAAATTATTTAAAAAATAAATAAATAAATAAATAAATAAAAGTATGAAGAGGTACAAAAGAATAAGGACCTTTAGGCCTCAGTTTCCAAATCTGTGAGGTAGGGATAATCACCCCAGCTCCTCCACCTCAGCTGACTCTGGCTTATGAAACATCTCTGGGCCTCCTGGCTGAAGCAGGGTGCTGTAAGCCTGCTGTTCTGCCCCCAAGGACACTTTGAACAGGAGGCCAGGAAATAGCATCCTTGACAGAAATACTCAGCATCAAAGAAAAATGACATCAGCTTGAAGCTGCCCCAAAGAAAATCAGACTTGATGGAGACAATGGCCAAAAAGAAAAAAAAAAGGAAAAATAAAAAATCAAAGAAAAAAAGAAAAGAGAACAAGCAGGCAGGAAAGAAAGAAGAAACCTGACAGTACCAGCAGCTATAGTTGGAAAATAGACATGGGAAAAAAATGAGTTAAATCTTCACTGTAAAATTTCCACAGAAAAGGATAAACCCTGCTAAACCCATAAAAATAAGACACTGGAGAGAATCACAAACATCTCATTAAGCCATACAAACATCTGCTTAACGAATTAAATTCATTTAGTGACATTCTCCTTTGGAAAATATTTTCTTGATGACATGCCGTCGATATTGACGTGATTCTGATAACATTTCTCAACATCCTAGGGATTACAACCTCCTGTGTACAGCCTGAGATCCTAGCCCTGCGGGCTGCCTCCCATTCCTTCGAGAACCAGCCGGGGTGCCAGGAGAAGGGGCGCATGGCAGGTGCCCACCGACTCACCGTGGTGATGAATCGGTACAGAGGTTGTCGTCTCTCTGTGTACTTGACCGTGATGGGGCTAAGGTCATAGCGGAACCAGATGGCGGGGATGATGCGGCCTGTGTGGCTGTAGGCGACATACTCCTGGGGTGGAGGAGGGGAGAAGGGGCACATGAGAACCAGACATACAAACCATGGCTCATGGTGGGTGGGGGGTGGATTGCAGAGGGTCCTCTGGCGACCCACAACAAGGGGCCATCTTCTCTTTCTTGCCTGGAGCCGGACGCCCCCAGTTCCTCTCACCCCTTGCCCTGGAGGCTCTGCTGTCAGCAGCTCGATGGGCAGCATTGCCGGGGACATTTTCAACTCTTCTGGCTGCTTGAACATTGACCATATGACCTGGAAGCAGCACCAGGATTGGAGAGCAGAGACGTAAAAGGACAGGTGTGATCTGGGCTACAGCCAGATCAGTAAAGGTCGATTTCCCCCTCTAATTCCTGGCCATGCAAAATCCATTCATTTACTCATTGTTTGCTGAGCACCTCTTGTGGGTGCTGGCTGCTGGGGACCCTGAGGGGAGAAAGCTCTGGCCCATCCCCAGAAGGGGGTCACAGTCTGCAGAAGGAAGCAGATGTAGAAGACAATCCACAATATCGCCGCATTGTCCATGCCGCGCCACAGAAGCCCGGAGTGCTGTGGGGGCCGGCGGCGAATGCCCAACTCTCCCCAGGCCGGCTGGAAGGCTTAGTGAGGAGGGGCCATTCTATGCCACGTGTGACATCCCGAGGGGTGTGTGTGTGGGGGGTGGGGGGGTGTAAGAGACATGAGTATAAAGGCCATGTGGGGAGTGGGCATCTTCAAAGAAGGAACACACTGAACTGGAAGGACCAAGGGACCCTACCACAAGGCTTCCAGAGACAGCACTTGGCTGGCTGGGATTAAAAGAATGCTAATGAGCTGAATTAACACGTGTCCTCTCCGGTCTGGGCATTTGCTGTCTGGGCTATTCTCATTCATCCACAATAACTGTACACCAGACTAGACCACAGGGGGTGCCCCCAGTCCCAAATGCTAGGGCCCACGCTCTGATGCTTCTCCAGGGATGACCCAAGACCTACCCACCCTGATGGACTGCAGCCGGCTCTGACGGGCACGGCCCACTTCCTCCCGGGGCAGGCTGGGGCCAAGGCCACAGAGAGAGCTGAGCAAGCTGTTCCGGCTGCTGGGTCTTTGCCAAAGCCTCAGGGGAAGGAGCCCTGGGCAAAACAAGATTAGCTTTCTCCAAGGAGAGCTGATGGGGCAGGGTGACTGTCTGGGTCAAAGCCCAGAGCGGAGGGATAGAGGAAAATAATGAAAAAGAGCAGCAGTAGGTATTTACCCAAAGCCTCCTTTGTGAACAAAGCAGTTTTTAAAACATTGCCTCATTTGATAGTAATCTTATGAGGTGGGAACCATCCCTTTTACAAATGAGTAAGCGGAGGCCCAGAGTGGTTATGCGACTTGTCCCAGGCCACACAGCTGGCAAATGACTGAGCTGGGTCTGCGCCAGCAGTCTGCTCCAGCCCCACCTTTTCTGCTCAGACTGCATCCGTATCCCAGCCCTTAGATACTGTCAGCACCTGACAGTTACAATGAGATGCGCTTCAAGAGACAGTGAGTAAAAGAAACAGGACTCCCTTTGGAAAGTTACACCAGAGCATCAATCAGCACAGGGAGATCTAGGCAGAGGCACCTCAAGTCACCTGAGAGAGAGCAGCTCCCAGCCCAACAGACTCAACGGCCCCAGTTCAGGCTGAGTGGGTGATGTGAGCAAGAGGCCAGGCAGAGGAGAACTCGGTTCTAACCCCCACTTGGCCACTTTGTAGCTCTATGACCACCTCTCAGTGCCAAGACAGTGTCACTGTCCCCAAATCTGTAAAATGGGGACAATGACAGTCCCAGTCAGAGCTGTCATGACTGAAAAGATGGTGGAGGTAGAGAGCTTAGTTTAATATCCAACCCACAGTAAGTGCTCAATAAATGGTATCTACTACTCTATTATTATTATCAACTGTGCTAAACAACATAGCACCTATCAGGGGTTTGGGCAGCTCTAGAACAGGAGGAAAAGGACAGTCCTGGTGACAAAGGGATCCACTGGGCTGTGCCTCAACTAGCATGTTGCAAGCATTCATGTCCATTGGCAGGGTCATCTCCCGGGAAGCTAGAGGCTGTCTCAGCTTGAAACAACTGTTAGTCATCCCATTCCGTGGGCTCGGACCGTGCTCTGCTTCCCATCAAGGTCTACCTGCTTCTCCATGGCTTTGAGTATTGGGGTCCTAGGACACTCCTGTTAACCAATGGCCATCTGGTGATTTTGGATAAAGTGCTTGTACCCCAGGAGCGAGAACATCTGTTATATGTTGGCGAATCAGGGTCCTGAGTCTGAAGAACTGGGGCCAGATGCAAGGCTCTTTCTCAACAGATCACAACCCATCTCCTGGTTAGACTTCCTCCCCTTGATGCCGAGACTAGCCTCTCATCTTTACCCAGGGACAGAGCCTGGCCAGAGCAGCGCCCCAGGAAAGGCTCCCTAAAGGGAACCAGCCCGAATCGCGCTCAGATACTTGTCATTTCTCCTTAGAGCCAGCAGAGGGCGCAATTGCACACAACTGGGCCCACGGACCACGTACCTTGTTAGCCACCGTGTACTGGTACGAGTACCGCTGCTTGCCGCTCTTGTCCTCATAAACCGTGGGCACGATCTTCAAGATGTAGTCGTGGGAGGCGAGAGCTGCAGGAAGGACACAGCAGGATGAAGCAGGGGGACAGGCACTGCCCAGCTGGCAACTCTATGTCATTTCAACCCCAAACCTGCTCAGCATTGTTGGGGGGCTGTTTCCAAATTTTCATCACCAAACAACCCCTCTTCATTTTCTCCCTTTGGACACCAGGAATTGAGTGACTCCGTCTATCAGGATCTTTATTCCTGCACTGTATAGGATAATAAAATTCTGGAAATGACCCAAATGTCCATCAATAGGGCAAACATTGAAGAGTGGGTACTGGGAGAAGCCACGGTCCAAGAGGTATTGTTAAGTGAAAAGAACCAAGTTACAGAACGGAGTTAACAACATGTTTCCAGGTACTGGGGGCAGGGAAGACTCACTCTCTCTATATGCATGAATATATAGAATTTTCTGGAAACATACCCAAGAAACTATTAGCAGTTTTAGCCTCTGGGGAAGAAGGCAGGATTTGATAAAGATCACATTTCATGGTGCAACCCCGGTCCTGTGTGAATACTGTTCCTTTTGAAACAAGCTGGGTTTTAAGTTTTAAAAAGAAAGAGCCCACGATGGGATGCCTGACTGGCTCAGTCGTTAGAACATGCAACTCTTGATCTCCGGGTTATAAGTTTGAGCCCCACGTTGAGTGTAGAACGTACTTAAAAAAAAAAAAAAAAAAAATTTTATCGGAAAAAAAAAAGAGCCAATGAACCGGAGAAACTGCATTTATGAAGAACTGTTTAATTTCTCTCCTCATTTTCAATTAATGGGAGATCAGTTTTCCCTCCACCTGGCCCTGTCATATTGCCCTGTAACTCTTACCCACCATCACTGGACGGGGGGAGGCTGCAGAGAGCAGGGACTGAGCCTTACTCATCTCTTGTCCCAGAACCTTGCATAGGGCCTGGCACAGAGTGGAAAATAGCAAGTGCTTACTGAATGAATGAACGGATGGAAGGATGGCTGGTCAGAGCCATGAATGGAAGAACAGATGCATCAGCTTCTGATAAGCATGAGGTAACCGGAATCAAACACTAGGCTGACAGAATGCTGGCCCAAAGCTGCCAAATAGCACCCAGGAAAGGTATGAATTCCCTTGGATCATGCTTCTGGGATGCTAAGAGAAGCTCAGTTATACTTCCCTTCTAAAATGTTGGGTCAGGGATCACGGAGCTAAAATAACACAGAAATTTAGTCTTTTGTGTTCTAATCCTGGTCTACTGGCTGAATCAGTTCTGAGTCCTTGGACTTGCTTGCTGTAAGAGGTTAGGGGATGCAGATGGCATTCATGGCCTCCTCCTGCTAATACTACATCTTTGTAAGGAAAGGGCAGTGCTTCCTGAACTGTCTTGAGACCTGACTCCTCTGAAAACCTCAGAAAAGCCCTGCAGCCCATGTAGACCCCAACACCCCTTTGCTCAAGCCCACAGTGGTCTTCGGGTGTCAGGAGAAGGAGAGTCATCCAAGATTTAAAAGACAGACACTTGGGCCTCACCCCCACTCGATGGTTCCAGAGTGGGGCTCAGAATCTGCATTTTAAACCAGGAGCCCGAAGACCATACTTGAGATACAGTGCTCCAAATGCCCATCGCCCTAGGTTAAACACTTGAGGGAATGAAAAAGTGAAAGCCTTATGAAAATCACACCTGTAATAGTTCTGTTAAAATTTGTACAAAATAGATGACCATAAAGAGAAAAAAATAAAAACCACCCACAAATCCACCATCCACAGAAAACCATGGATTCACATTCTTGTGTGTAAACTGCTAGACTTATATTTATACATATATTTATGTTTTCCTAAAATGGCATCATACTGTACCCTTTTCTAAGAACTAAACACCACAGATACCATTTTAGGTCCAAGACACAGAAAGTAATAAGCTCCACTCTGTTTTACTTGCTGCAGTATCCCCTAGCATGGCGCCTGGCACACAGTAGGTGCTCAATAGATGTCTGCTGCCCGAATGCCAGCGAAGTGCTGACCCATCTGCACATATCCCACAGCGCAGCCACATAAATGCACTCAACCCACCCCCCGTGGCTAGACACTGACGCTGTTCCTCATTTTCACTGTTATAAACAATGACCTAATGGACATTATTTTCCTAAATCTTTGCACACTCTTTTAATTATTTCCTTAGCTTACTCTTCTATGAGTAGAAATGATGACTCAAGGCAATGACCATTTTTAAGGCCTTTGATACAATTTGCCAAATGCCCACTAGAGACACCGCGCCTAATTCCACCCATGTGGACTACTTGTCAGTGGACCCCTCCTAGGGGCTGCTGGCTCCGACCTGATCCAGGCAGGCCCACATACACTTTACGCTCGCAGCCTCCCTCCCTCCTAACATCTTGTTATGGAAAAATTCAAACACATGAAAAAATGGGGGCTCCTATAACGAACCTCCCCCCTCCCCATGCTGGTCTCCCATTCCCCAGTTTCAGCAATTAACAACATACGGTCGATTTTGCTTCCTCCCTACCCCATCGTTTACCCTGCTCTGTTTTATCTGGAAGCAAATCCCAGACATCACATAAATTCATCCAAAAATGTTTTAGTTATGTCTCTATAAAAGATAAAGACTCTTAAAAAAATCAAAACACAACAACCACAATGTCATCATCACCGCGGCTAAAACATCCACAGTTACTCCTCAGTATCTTCAAAGAAAGTGGTCTGCTGGAAGAAAAATCAGTTCCTAGAAGTGGGAGTTCCTTTAGACAAGGTGGTCAGGGAGGGCCTCTCGGAGGTGGTGGCATTTGCGTTGAGACCTACATGATAAGAAGCAGCCCTCACTGGGAAGGTCTGGGAGCAGAGGGGGCAGCAAAGGCAAAAAGGCCCAGCAGGGAGGCCAAGCTGGAGGGCTGAGGGAATGAAAGCCAGCCCTACCCTTGGCTGCTTGTTGTCTGATCTAATGCATTTTCTTTCCATGGAAGCCAGCCTGAGGTGGCTCTCCTCATGAGCCCTAGAGCAGGCAGGGTTTTCTGCCCAGACGCTCTACTGGTTGACACCGTCTGGGTCCTTCCGAGCTCGGTTCTATGTCAATATCTGTGCCAACTGCGAGCGGCTGTGGACCACCGCCTTGGTGCAACGTGGGCCCTTCCACAGAACTATACCAACAATGACACCAACATCAACATGGGAAGGATCATCTCCCTCTGTCAGAATCAGACATCTGCATGAAGACAAGGAGGCCCCGTCGCGTGTTCCTATGCTGCTGGAGGCGGCGCGAACGGGCCCGCACCCAAGGGAAAGCAACGGGACAAGGTAAAGCAAATACCATAAATATCACAAGCATTGCTGTGATGGTAAAAAACTAGGAACAGACATTTTCCACGAGACGACAAGGCCTTAATAAAGCACGTCAGAGCTGCTAGATGGGCAGGCGTGCCTCCGTCTCCACTGGAAACACTGTCCACAAACCGTGGTCACGTAAAAATGCCAAGGACAAAAATCAGAAGGTAAACTGCCATCTACTGGCTTTGAGACGATGACTTCTGCTGATGGCAGAAGTTCACAGGGACACGGAGAAATGAAAAGTGTGATTTGTTGAGGGTGGGGGATCACTCATGGAGAGATGTTTTCTTTTGCTTGAATTTCTGACCATCAGAGAGCAGAATGTATTTTAAGAAACAATGAGAAAAGCCTTGTGGATAAAAAAGAAGAGCTCAGGTAAGGAAATAAGGCAAGTTAAGGTCACCTGTGCCGCGGGATCCAGGGGGTGGATCCATTTAAGCGGACAGGTCTCCTGGACCCATTCTGTGCATGCATCCAAGGCCCCGTGTGGGTGCACACGTGAGTGTGTAGGTGTGCAAAAATTCATTAGATCAGGCAACAGACAGGTGTGTGCATAGGTGTGTCGGTGTGTAAAGACACGGGGCCCTCCTTCGTTGGGACCAAGGTGCCAGAGAGCTGAGCGGGTGGAGGGCTCAGGGAGGGGGCATTCATGGGTGGGAAGGGCTCCAGCCCAAGGAGAGTGTGGGGTTGGGTGGGCAGCCCCGGTGGTCAGACCTGACTGGGCCACCCTCAGCCCTGTTATCACGGTGCCTGCCGCTGGAGCTAGGATGAATTCGGGCTCTGCCATGGCTCCCTGCGGGATCTTAGGTGACTACCTCAACTAAAAACAATTCGGTGGCAGTAATGACAACAATAATGATGATAATAGCTGGTACTCACTGAGCTCTTATGATGTGCCTGGGGCTGTCACATCCTTTCCCCGGGGAGGGTGGGGACAAGCCGCTTACCTCCCCTGGTCTGTCAGATAGGGCTAATTCCACCTTCCTCACAGGCCCGCTGTGGGAAAGGAGCATTCACAGCTGGGCTTACAGAGAGGGCTTGATATGCGTCCCCTTCCTCTCCCCCTTTCCCTGTTCCCAGTTGGGATATGGGATACATACGGTTGGAGGTGAGTCTGTCTGCTCCCCCGAGAGCGTTGAAAGCTCCGTGGACGTTCTGTACCTGTGGAGAAGCACAGTGAGGGGACTGACCCCAGGAGGCCACTTCCTCCAGGCCTGGGCCTGGCCACACGAGGGGATGGCCAGGCGCAACCTGGTGTAGGGACCTTACCCAGCCTGGTCTATCTCATAGAGAAGTTGTAGGGAGCAAGAGGCCGACACAGCCCAGGCCCGGCACGTAGTAGGCACTAGCTTGCTACCCATCTTGGGCCCCTGTAATACACCACTCTATCCTGCCGTACTTCTAGTCATCTCATTTAGTGCCTCTAATGATGTACTGTTGAGCCCATTTTACAGAAGAGCAAACCAAGGCTTCGAGAAGTGCTGAAGCTCGTCCAGTGTCACACAGCTGATAAATGGCTGAGCCAAGCTCCAAATTCAGGAATCTGACCTCAAGCCTGAGCTCTTCCCATTAAGCCACTTTGGAAATACAAGTAAAGGTGGGTCTGGGTTCCAGCACACACCTCCTTAGATCCCCTACAGCCTTCTGAGGCTCCAGGGCTGTTGGCCTCCCACTGTATCTGCTGCAGAGAACATACAGCAGCTGTGAAGAGCCCTCTCCTCACGGCAACTGACCCCTGAAAGGGCCTGATGTAGAGTGGGGCCGAGGGCCAAATCCTCCCCCTTCTCTGAGGATGAGGGGAAACCATGTCAGCTACAGGAAAATCTAAAGCAGGGCAAGGCATGCCTGGTACATGGGGCATGCCACCATGGGTATGGTTAACAGGGGCTGCCAAGCTAGTCACCCTGGAGGGCTTCCTGGAAGAAGAGACACACTAAGATCTGTACGAAAGTGGGAAGTTAATCAGGCAAGCAGCATCTGTGAAGCATGAGCCCGGAGACTGAGGAATAAACAGAAGCCCGTGTGTCCCCAGGGGAAGGGGGTGAGGTAGGTGGGGATAGGCTCCTGCAGAGACGGCCACTTCAGGAACAGTGGGAAGCAGCTCGGTGACCTGATCCTTGATCCCTGTCTCAGGTGGCTGATGTTTACTGAGCACTTCACAGAGCTGTACACTCTTAACAAGCCCAAAGAAAAGGGAAGTTTGTCCACTGCTGCCTTAGGGAAGGACAATCTGAACCCAAGAGGATGGTGGTTATGGAGAGGAGAGCTAGAATGTTCCCTCCCAGAGTCAATGTGTCATGGTTTTATCTCACATTCATTTGTATGATCATTTGATTAACTTTTGTTTTCCCCTCTAGATTGTAAGTTCCACATGGGCAGGGACCATGCTCGTCCTCAGCAATGTGCACAAGGCACATAATGTGCACAGCAGGAGCTCAATAAATATTTGTTGCATGGATGATGGATGGTGGGTGGGTAGATGGAACCTCAGCGAAGTTTTTTTCTCATTTAAAGAAAATCCTATTTTACCCATAATCATGACCAGGCAGAAGGCTCTTTCTGTCTTGTTCGGCCAGCGGCACATAGCAACACAAGACTGTCCCCTCTCCTCCCCACCGTCTGTCCCCTTCCTTTCCCCCTGCTGCCCTGTCTCTCCTGGCTCTGGCCGCAGCCCTTCCCTCACCTCCAGTCTGGCCTCACGGCCCATCTTCCACACGGCAAGTGGGTGCTCCAACACACCAACCTGCCCCAGTCAGCCCCACCTGCCCCACCTGCCTGAATCCCTCGCCCCCCATAAAACTCAGCTCCCTGCTCCCCTTCAGGGACTCTTCTGCATCCTCTCCAACTCTGAGGAGCACTCACTTCCCAGGCCTTGTTACAGAACATCATTCTGGTCATGTGGACATCTGCTGACCCATTTTTTTCTAAGAGGAACCTTGAGGGCCTTTTATACGAACATGACTGTCTGCATGTATCATAGAGCGGAAGATGCGTGAGATGCTCCTTGCCCATGAGACTTCCCTGTGAGGTTGGCCAAATCCTTCTCACCCTTCAGGCGCTGGCTTACATGTTACCTGCAAAGTCACCCTCCTCTGGGAGGTGGCCCTCCCTGACTTCCCAGGCTAGGAGGAAGCCTGGCCCTGCTCCCATATCACTGCCCAGAATCCCATGCCTCTCCTGTCCTTAACCCTCCTTGTCCTATATGATCATGCTTATTTATTTGATCTCTTCTCCTGAGAGCAAGAGTCCTGTATCATTTACCCATCATGTAACCCCAGGGCCTGGCACAGAGCAGACATTTCAAGAAGGTCTGATGAATCCATGACTGTATGAGGCACAGTAATGGAAGACCTGGGGCCAGACATACCTGGTTTCTTATAAGCTGTGTGACCTTGGGCAAGTTACTGAATCCCTCTGACCCAGTCTCCTCATCAGGAACAACAAATGCTATCCAGCACCCTTAAGGGAGTCTTTGTGAGGATTAAACACGGGGTCACCTGTAACGTTGCTCTCTAGGTAAGAAAGAGCAGGCTTCTGGCGTCCAGAGGACGGAGTGTAGCCTGGCACAAAGACTGGGTTTGAATTCTGGCTGTGCAGAGCCAAGCAACCCTGGACAGTTTTCCCCTGGGCACACCGGAGTTGACAGTGACTTTTTTTCCCAGGGCCGCGGTGAGGATTTGCCAAGCTGGTGGGTCTAAAGGCAGCTAGGGCACTGCCCAGCACTTAGTATATGGAGCACCTGTCACCCACCACCTGCCTGTGATTTGTCAGCTCCCGTCCTGCTGGGGGTGGGGACCACCCCGCATTCTGTCTTCTCCATGGCTGCGTGAGCATGGCTGCTTTGTCTTGCAGGGCCCGGTGCAGAATTAGGGTACAGAGAGCAACAGAAGTAAGAGCTCATTTCCTTGACTGCTTACTCTCTTCCTGGCACTGATCTAAGGGCTTTATGTGCAGGAATTCATTTTATCTTCACTACAATCCTCTGAGGCAGGTACTATTTACTGTCCCCATTTTACAGATGAGATAACTGAGGCTCAGCAGGACTAAATGATTTGTTCAAGGTCACACAACTAGTACGTGGTGGAGCCAGGACTTGGATCTGGAAAGGCAGGCTGGGGGGCCAACACACGATGACCCCGAGTGGAGAGCTGGGGCCCCGTGGGTGGTGAACCCTGTATGGAGGGAGTCCACAGTCACAGGGCAGGCTGTGCTTCACCGAGTGTGTAGGCAGGGAGTCTGGCTCACGGCACCCACGGTGGCCAGGCCTTCTCTGTTCCTAAGCCCTGTCTCCAAGAGGAAGAGCTCTGTGGCCTCCAAAGGGACTGGACAGGTGATGACTGGCCCCTCAGGCTGGGCCCAAGGTGCCCACAGGGAAAGAAGCAGAGGCGATGCGGAGCGGAGAGAGGAAGTGTGAGAGTGTGCGTGTGCCTGAGGGGCAGTGTGCCCTCCGGAGGGGGCATGGGGGAGGTGGTGCCCGCGGTGCAGCCTGAAGCCAGACTCCTGATTCAAACTCAGGCTCTGCAACGGACTGTACCTCCCCGTGCCTCAACTTCCTCACCTGTAAAATGGAGACAATAAAGTACCCACCTCTGGGGCTGCTAAGAGAGTGAAAGAAGGTCACACTTATAAAGAATGGTGCTTGGCAGGTCCATGTGAGTGGGGCAGTGCGGGCAGGAGTGTGCACGTGAGCTGTTCCAACGTGGGTGAGTCTGTGCGTGTCCCTGGGTGGTGTGTGTGCACTGTGTCTGTGCAAGAGTCTGGGTGTGTGTACATTTGGTGTGTGTGTTTAGGGATGGATCTTATGATATACGTACGAGCACGTGTGTGTCAGAGCGTACGTCTGAGCGTGTGTCTCATGAGTGTGTGCGTGAGTCTGAGCACACATGTGTGTGCACATAAATGCGTAATGGGTGTGTGTGCTATGCTTGTGGGCCTTTGTGAGCCCCAGGTGCACACCACCATCCCTGGGGGGACCCTACCCTCCAATATCCTTAACCAGGAGCCAGGATTCTCATCGAGCAAGGCTTGGTGGCCGGACCCAGGGTCCTGATCCCAGCATTGTGGCAGGACGAGTTACCTCCCTACTCTGGGCCTCAGTTCCAGAATCTACCTTCAGGACCATGCGGAGTAGTGGAGAAGAGAGAACACCCAAGCTCCCCTGCCTGCAGCTGGTGGAGAGCAGGTGGTTTGTGTTGGGTTCCCATACGTGGCTGCCATGGGTAGGAAGCTGCTGGAGGTGGCCCTCTCCATCCTCACCGAGGACTGTCAGGAGGCTTCCTTCACCACGGCACCCCTACTTGGTGGGCGTGGGCACTGGGCTGGAAGGCAGAAGGGGCTGTAGAGGCACACAGACTGGACTCCGGCATCAGACAGATCTGCCGGGGAACCCCCAGATAAGTGGCTTCTCTGGGCCCAGCTCCACAGCTCTAAGGCGTGGTGCCCCCTCATACCTCGTAAGGCCTCACTGGCATGGAGAAAGTGCTAGCACTTAGTACTGGCTCATGAAAAGTGCGTCTCTTTCCCCAGGCTCCAGGTCTCAACCCAAGGGTCCAAGGGCATGGTACTATCAAAACTGCAGGCTCATGCTCCGAAAGAATAATACAGAGGTGCTGTTGAACAGAGACTCAGAGGGGGTGACCCCTCTAGATGTTATATTTGTGCCCAGAGAGGACAGAAGGCTCCAGGTGACACAGTCCCGGTACACCCACCCCCAGCCACACCACCTGTGTGTACCCTGCTCACCTGTAGTGTGTCCCCAAAGGAGAGCTTGTGGATGACATGGGTCATGTCCGGGTTCTGTGGCTGGGCCGTGGCACTGTGTGTAGACACGTGGAAGTTGCCCGGGACCTGGGGGAGAGATGCGGGTTTCAGGAGTCTCGCTGGCTGCCCCAGAGGTGGGGGGCAGGTCTTCACCCTGAAGTCAGACAGATCTGGAACGGGATCCCAGGGTGGTCGGAGCCATGGGACTTTGGAGGAGCTACTGCCCTTCTCTGAGCCTCAGGCTGCTCGTCTGTAGAATGGGGGCAGGAACAGAAGCTACCCGAGGGGGCTGCCGGGATTATGGGGTGGGAGAACACAGCTGGGCACCTGGCACAGGCCAGGGCTCGAAATGGCAGCCGCCCACCAGCTACTTCCTGGCTGTTGGCCCCATGGTGGGTTGAACCTTTAGGCCCACGGACCAACTGAACCTCCTCAAAATCCCAATCAACACTACCACTCACCCACATTTGCCCCACCACCCCAGACTAGGGGATCCTTGAAGGCAGGACTATGGTGGCCTCCTTTCCTCCCTGGGTCTCCCTGGATTCTGCTGGGGCATCTCTGTGGCAACAAAAGGCCCCTCCTTTACCAAGCTGCTCAGGCCAAACCCTTGGTATCATCTTGGCCCCCTGTCTTTCTCTCACACCTGACCTCCTGCCCACCAGGAAAGGCCGTCCGCTCCACCCTCACGACGCCTAGCACCTGACCTTCTCAAGCCCCCACTGCTCCCCTGGACTGGACAATGGGGGCAGCCTCCCCACTGGGCTCCCAGCTTCTGCCCTTGGCACCCCCAGGCCTTTCCCAACAGCAGCCAGGAAGGTCCTTTAGAAGCTACATCTGATTGTGTCACTCCTCTGCTCACATCCTCCTCTGAGTACTCCCCCGGCCATGCCAGCCTCCCTGTGACACCAGGAATGGTGTCAGTGTGGTCCTGTGGGCCTGCGACCCCTTCCTGGAACCCTCTTTGATGTAGCTCTCCCTGGTCTCCCTCAGGCCTCTGCTCAGGGAGCCTCCCAACCCCCCTTCCCCAAACCAGCACGGGCCACCTGATCTTTATCTTGTTCTATTCTGTTTCCTCACCGGAGCACGCTGGCTCCACGCTGGTGGGGAGTTGTGTCCGATTTGATCTGCACTCCCCAGACCCTGGCAGATGCCCACAAAATAGGTACTGGGTGAATGAACAAAGGATGAATGGCACTAATTCTTAAAATAGCGATTTTCATTTTGACATCTGGTAATTCCCATTTTACAGAAAAGAAAACTGAGGCTCAGAGTAGTGAAGACATTTGCTAAGGAACATGTCAAGAGCTGTGATTTGAACTCATGGCTGTTGGGACTCTAGACTCGGCACACTGAAGCGGGACATGATACTTCCTCCCACCATGTACCTCAGCAGCCCTGGGTTGATGGCCACATGCAGCCATCCTTTGGGACGTGCTGGGTTTGGGAAGATGGCCCAGACAAGAGCCTGGAACAGAAAACGAGACTGCATGACCCACACTGGATCAGAGGGATATATAGACTGTGGGGGCCATGGGGAGAGCCCCCAATTCAGTTGGGAGTGTTCAGAGGGGGCTTCTCAGCAGAAAGGACCCTCTTGTGCTAATGAGTCTGCATTACTTGGGAACAGGGGGAAAGGCATGTAGGCAGATGGAACAGCATGGACAAGTATGGAGGTCAGAAACTGCCCAGTCCAGTTGGTGGGCATGTGTAAGGAATTAGAAGAATTTGGTTCAGGAGTAACTGAACCCGGAATAAAAGAACGGCCTGCAGGGGGTGGTAGCATCAAGAAACAAAGAGGCATTAGAGAGAGATGGGGCTGTTCAGTAAAGGCCCCACATGCCAGGCTGAAAAACAGAGTTTATTTTATTCCAGTTCAACGAAGGTTTGGTAAGCTACAACAGAGGAAGGAAGATGGCTTATAGCTTCTGGCTTAGCAGCAGTTCATCAAAGTCTGCTTATTTTGTAAGCATGCCAGTTTCAAACACAAAGCTGGGGGCTTCCAGAAATCTTCCTGTCTTCACAAGGGCCTGAGCTTTGCAGACTGATCTGCGAGGTACCAGGCTGACAGGTATGGCCCGGCCTCAGCTCACAGGTGAGGCTAGAATGGAGTCTGGGTTGTGGGCTTCAGGAGCCGCATGGCAGAGCAGCAGCGGAGTTCTACACTCCAGTCCAGCCCCGCCCCCCAGCTGGGGTGCCTTGGGCAAGGTCAGTAACCTCTCTGTGCCTCAGTTTCCTCACTGGCAAAATGGAGATGACAACCACAAAGGGTTTTTAGGAGGATTAAAGGAGGTGAGGAGGGCAAAGCCGATGGTAGCTGTTATTGGGTTGGGTTCCTAGGATGAACATGTTCATCATCAGAACAAGGACTCAAGAACAGAAGGACCCTCCCAGAATTCAGAACAGCATGTACACAGGCAGGGCATGGAGAAAAGCCCACTGTATCTCAAAACGATTTCTAAACTTCATTTTTACTTATAAAAATAATTAACTATACACACTTGTATTATAAAAAATTCACAGGGACGCTGGGGTGGCTCAGCCAGTTAAGCATCTGCCTATGGCTCAGGTCATGATCCCAGGGTCCTGGGACTGAGTCCTACATTGGGCTCCCTGCTCAGTGGGAGCCTGCTTCTCCCTCTCCCACTCCCCTTGCTTGTGAGTTCTCTCTCTCTCTCTTTCTCTCTCTGACAAATAAATAAAATCTTAAAAAAAAAATTCACACGATAGAGTAAGGACTATAGGTCCCGATGTCTACCGCCTCCGGAAGTATGAAACCAATAGCGTCAGGCATGGGTGCTTTGGGAGTTTTTCCATGCAGTGACATGGGGCCACTGGTGGGCAGAGTTCAGAATGGGGTTTGGAGCCTGGGCCTCACGCTCCCAGAGTTAAGTGAGTCAAGGAGGCTGGCTCCCGCGCATCTGCCACCCGCTGCCTCCCCGCGAGGCTGTGACTCAGTGACCCAGCCGCCCCCCACCACAAGGAATCCATCACAGGTGGCTGACTCATACCAGCACATGCTGGGCTGCAGAAAGAAAAGACGATGCTTTTAGAGCCTGTGACTTAGGCATCTACGTCAGTGTCTCTGATAGATTTTAGAAACATATAGATGGAGCCAGGCCCCAAACCCGGGCCCATCCTGCCCTCCTCCTGGGGGCTGGGTGATTCAGCGAGGAGTCTGGGCTGCTCTGGGGGCTGCCAGTGCAGCTCGGAACATGTGACCTCGGATGTCTGACTACTGGCTGACTTCCTGATGGACAGATAAGGAAGCCATGGGGCAAGTGTAAGCCTGATGCTGGGACAGAAGGGGGTGGGGGCCAGGGGCTAACCTCACCCATCATCAGGGCACACTGTGGCTGCTGGCTTTCTTGTCGAGCAAGCACCCTCTGTCTGAGAGCTCCTAGGAGGCATGCACCTGGAACAAGGGAGAGTGGGGGTCTCCACTCTCTGCAAGGGACAAGGGCGGAGGGTGGCCTGAGCTGTGACCTGGAGTGAACGGACACAAGTGGTCATAGCTCACGTGATCTAGATGCTGGCAAGGAGAAGCAACAAGGGGACAGGGGATGGGGGGGGGCGGTACAAGGGCCTGGCGCCAGGCTGCCTGGGTTCAAATCCTACTTAATTTTTTATGCCCCCGTCTCCTCAGAGCTGCTACGAGGACTAAACAGGTTAATCTAGGAAAGGGCCAGGAGGAACCCAATAGGTGGCAGCCATAAGGCGAGGGCTGGAGTGACACTCTCCTAGCATCCCTGGCCCTCCCCGACCAGAGAAGACCCGTTTCTTGAACAACATCCATGCACATTTTATGAGCACACTTGCACCCAGGTGACAGTGGGTTCCAGCTGGTGAAATCATGGATGCTCCCACTGATGGGAGACGAAGCAGGCCAGGGAAGGGGCACCGATGCGTGTCCCCGTTCCCACGGTGTTAAGTGCTTTGTATTTTAATTTGCTCATGTCTTACAACCTGAGAGGGCAGTACTAGTATCCCCATTTTACAGATGAGGACACTGTGGCTCAGAGAGGCTCAAATGCCCAGAGTCTTTCAATCAGTGAGCACTGTAGCCACGGTTCTCGACCACAGCCTATCTGAGGGGAGCTGACTGCCGCCTTCGGCGTGTTGGCCAAGGCGAGGAGGGCATGGTGCTGGGCTATCTCCTGGGTGGTGGTGCTGCTTCTCGTGTGTCCACCCCACGCGGGGAACCAACAGGGGCCCTTCTTTGCTCATTGTCTGGGGCATAAATATTTGTTTAAGCCAGGTGACCATACCCCCGAGGGGAGCTCCGCACAATTGGGAGCTGTGTGTGTCCCCTCATCTTCAACCGCTACCCCGCAGACAGGCCTTCCCTCATGCCCCTATCTCAGTGGGGCTCCTCCCTTATTCCCCACCATAACACCCTCTTCATTCTCTTCACGGCTGCTTCATCGAGATTACACATTTGCTTGAGTGTTTAGCTGCGGGCTGGCTATCACCCCACAGCTGACCACAGTGCTGCCAAGGTCAGGGACCATGGCTGTTTCTTTCAGCACTGCGTCCCCGTGCCAAGTGTGGAGCCCGGCACAGAGCAGACGCTCAATAGCGAGATGCATGAATTAATCAGCCAGGGGCGGGGGACAATGGTCAAAAGAAGTCAAGCGGTGAAGTGGACGGTAGCAACACGGGGCATGACGGAGGAGGCGGTCAGAGGAAGGGGAAGGAGGGACCCCGGAGGGACCTGCGTCAAGGAGGTCTGTGGACGAGCAGCAGTTCTCCAGGCGCACAGGTGCGGGCAGAGCAAGAGCCTGGGCCTACCACCAATTCAGCCAGCTCCCTGCAAGCCCACACCCCACCCTCTCCTCTCCAAGGCCCCCCCCCACAACGGCGGCCCGGACCCCACGCCCTCTGCGCTTCCCAAGGCCCTGCCTGTGCGGCAGCCCTGTCCTCTCCCATGTCATTCGCTTTTCCCGCAGCTCGCGGGTCAGCAGTCCACCCCGCCCATGCAGCACCAGCCTTCCTCCCTGACTGATGTTCTCTTCTAGATTCTCGGGCCCGCCTGGGCCGGGTTCCCTCCTACCTGCCTGGCTGCCCCTTCTCCCACCTTTCATCACCCCCTCATCTCCCTACTCCTCAAAGCTGGCGTGTACCAGAAATCAGTCCTCAAACCACATTTGCATCAAGATGCTGGGTTTCTGGGACACCTGGGTGGCTTGGTCACTAAGCGTCTGCCTTCACCTCAGGTTATGCATGATCTCAGGGTCCTGGGATCGAGCTCCGTGTGGGAGCTCTCTGCTCAGCTCCCTCTCCCTCTGCAGCTCCCCCTGCTCATGCTCTCTTGCTCTGCCTCTCTCTCTCAAAATAAATAAATAAAATCTTTAAGGAAAACAAAAAAGACCTTGGGTTCTTACATTTTGGCGCCATGGACCCTTTGCCAACATCATCTATTCACTGAGGACTCCCACACTCACATTCCAGCTCAGAACACTCTCCTGAGCCCCAGAAACACACCTCCAATCCCAAACGAAACACATCTAGAATCGAAGGACTGCTTCCCAGCCCCATCGCCCATAGAATCCATGCTGGCCCAAGCCTCTCTCTCTAGAAAATGGGACACCCTGGTTGTTCAGACAAAAACTAAGAGGTTGCTTTGATTCCACTCTTGCCCTCACCACCTGCATCCAATTGATCAGTAAGTCTTGTTGACTCCACATCCCTAATCAGACCACTTCTATCCAACTCCGCTGCACAACCATGGACCATGACCTCTGCTCTGGGCCCCCTCCACTGTGCTCCCCCCACAGCTGTCACGGTGAGCTTTCTGAAGTTTTGCTGTCCAACAGAACTTTCTCTGATGATAAAAATGGCATAGGGCACTAATATGGTAGCCACTAGTCTCTCTTTTTTTTTTTTTTTTTAAGATTTTATTTATTTATTTGACAGAGAGAGAGATAGCAAGAGCAGGAACACAAGCAGGGGGAGTGAGAGAGGGAGAAGCAGGCTTCCCGCCGAGCAGGGAGCCCGATGTGGGCCTCGATCCCAGGACCCTGGGATCACGACCTGAGCCGAAGGCAGACGCTTAACGACTGAGCCACCCAGGCGCCCGCCACTAGTCTCTCTTAATAAAGTCCTTGAGGGCGCCTGGGTGGCTCAGATGGTTAAGCGTCTGCCTTCGGCTCAGGTCATGATCCCAGGGTCCTGGGATCGAGTCCCGCATCGGGCTCCCTGCTCCTTGGGAGCCTGCTTCTCCCTCTGCCTCTCTCTCTCTGTCTCTCATGAATAAATAAATAAAATCTTAAAAAAAAAAAATAAAGTCCTTGAAATGTGACTAGTGAGACTGAAAGACTGAATTTTTCATTTTACTTAATTTTAAGGAATTTAAATTTAAATAGCCCACACGGCTAATGGCTACCATATTGGATAGTATAGTTCTAAACCGTAAATCTGATTGCATTGCTTCCCTGCTTACAACTCTCACATGGCTTCCCATCACCACCACCATAAAACCTGAATCATGGAGCACAGCACTGACCCTGTGACTTAGTTTAACCCCGAAAATGTGGCCCAAGGAACATTCTCTACTTTCACACTTCAGGGAGCCCTGAGCTCTCATGGAAGAAGGCCACTCTGCCAGAAAGAACACACACGGAGGCCATGTGGAGAGGAGAGGCCCTAAGACTACACGGGGAGAGACAGGTCCAGTCACACCAGTGTCACACCTTGCGGCCACCCAGCAGGAACTGTGGGAAGGAGGGCACATGCCCTGTCTAAACGGGCAGCCCCTTGGATCCAGATGGCAGTTGCCAATGGGATGTGGGCCCAGGGTGGCTAGAGCCTCTGACTTTGAAAAGCCAGAAATCTGGATTCCCAATCTTTAGATATTGACTCTGACATGTTTGAACGCTGGATAGGACAAATATAACTTGTCTTTGGGCTGGGTGAGGCCAGTGAGTTCGCAATGCCTGATTCAGATGCCAGGGACCAGAGGCAGGCTGTTTTGACAGAGGCTACAAGAGGTCAAGCAGAAGCCAGGAGTGGCCAATGGCCCAGTCTGGCGGGACTGGGAAGGGGAGCTATGGAACACGGGAGACAGCTGTGTGATCTTGGGCAAGACACTCAACCTCTCTGGTTCTCAGTTTCCTCATCTGTAACATGGTGCCACCTCATGGGGTGCTTGAGAGGCTCCCCTTCTTCGTAAGAAGAGCTGAAATGGGTGCGGCGCGTGTGGGGCAACCTCTGCTGGTTCCCGCCGGGATTCCCCGGCACTCCCAAATGCACTTGCTCACATTCTTGGCTCAGGATCTCAAGTTCCTGGTTCTAGCAACAAAACAGGAGTAATGCCTGAGTGGTCCTTTGGGGCCTACCAGGTACTTTCAAACCACCCCACTCTCCCCGCTCCCCTGCTTTCTTCCTCATCACAGCGCCTATGACCCACCCGCTGCAATGCTTCTCAGTTTGTATACTGTCTCCCCACCACCAGCACAGAAGCTCCACGAGCACAGGAACTCTGCCCCCTTATTCTACCAATTCCAGTCCATTCCACCTATTCTGGGCGGCCCCAGAGCCGAGAGCCCACCCTAGAACACAGAAAGTGTCTCATAAACGTTTTTTGGATGACTGTGTACTAGCTCATTTCATCCTCATACAAACTTTGTGAACCGGGTGGTATCATTCTATTCTTACCATCATCACACCCTCCCCCTAAAGATGGCTAAGATGGGTGCAGTGACTTGGAGGGTGTTGCTTGGCCAAGAGAAGTAAGAGCTGGGACACACACTCGGGGCTGTATATTCCATGGTCTTCTCACCACCCACTGCCTTTCCTGTTGGGAAGAAGAGTAGCCCCTTCCTGAACCAGCCAGCAGGGGCTCCATGACTCGGGGAACCTGGAACCCCCACCCAGATTCTCAGCAGCAAACGCCAGGCACCCTGATGCTTATTAGGCTCTGGCTGGGGCGGGGGAGGGGGGTGAGGGCGCGGCAGGGAGGCCAAGGGAGTGCACAGCTCTACCATCTGGTTTCTTGGAGGAAGGGGACCAAAGGAACAGGGAGCAGGTCAAAGGGCCCATGCAGGGTCTCCATACCTTGTTGATGCTGAACTGCCCCTCAAAGCGGCAGCCGGCCCCGTTGTTCAGTGGGATCTTCATCGAGTTGTCGATGTGCCCCACCTCATGCCTGCCCATCTCATCCTGTATGTCAAGCCCGACCACTGCAGGGGGCAAGGAGAGGAAAGAGTCACAAATGCCCAGAGCAGTGGGGGTGGGGCCAGCCCTCTCCTCCCTGGACCCCTGCCCCCTCATCCACTCCATGGACAGGTGGGCCCCAGGCCATCTAGGAGCTCACTGTCTGGGGCCCAGAGCCAATAGACGAGGAGGAGAAGGTGATGGCTGAACTAAAAGGGAGCAAGCCCACAAGGTCCTGTCCCTGCCACTGCCTGGGGCTGCAAAGGAAGAGGGAAAAGAGCTGGGGGAGGTACCAGCTAGTGGGGCTGCAGAGGTGATGATTGCACCTGCTAAATGCAAGGCTACAGGGAGAAACAGAGGGTTGGGGTTCAAAGGTTGTCTGAATCCTGGCCCTGCCTTTTACCAGCTATTCAACCCTGGCCAAGGCACATAACCCCTTGATGCCTGTTTCTTTCTTTGGAAAATGGGGGTGATAATAATTAGACCTTCTTTGGAGAATTATGCAGATTAAATAATGAATGTGTGTAGAAAGTGCTTAGAACGGGGTCTGACGCATAGTACATGGCAAGTGCCTAATGAATGGTGGCATTTAATGTGTCTCAGTCTCTGGATTTGTTGGGCGAACAGGTCCAGGCAGTCATTCATTCGCTTTACTCATCATTCATTCATTCACACCTTCTTTTACCCAATGCCTATTCTGGCAGACCCTGCCTTCCTGGAGCTTGGGCACTTTTCTGGGTTCCTCAGTACACTGAATGGGAAACCTGGGGCCCGGGAATCCTGGTCCTTGCCTCCAATGTGACTCTCCACCTGTGACTCAGCTTCCCGATCTGTAAAATGGGCAGGCCCACGCCAACTGCATTCCCTGAGATGGTCTAAGAGGCATGGGTTTGTAAACTATGAAAACGCAGAAGATTCCCTGAAGGAAGCCCTGGAAAGGAGGTTGTAACACAGAGGAAGAAGAGCTGGAAGCAATTTTATGTGAGCCAACCCTAAAAGGGAAAAATGGGAACAATCGTAGTCCTCAGTGGAGATGGGGAAGCAAGTGAGGCCCCATCCATAGAAGGAAATGTGATGTAGTCATTAAAAATGACGCTCATGGGTCTGTAGTATGTGGGAAATGTTGATGCCGTAATGTTTGATTTAAAAGAAATGCAAACAGAAATGCAAACCGGTCCCTGTTTGACTCAGCAGCTCCACCCTTAGGAGCCTGTTCTCCAGACGCACACATGTCCAGACGTGTGTGCAAGGCTGCTCTGGGCAACTTTACTTGAAACTGTGACCACTGGAGGCAGCCCAGCTGCCTGTCAACAGGGACCGGTCAATGGAACAGCCCCCTCTGGAATGCTGCGCAACAGGTACACGGACAGAGCAAAATCTACATGTGGGGTGAGGCGGCTCACAGCAGGCCAGTGACTAAGAGCTTGGGCTCTGGGCCTGCCACTTTCTGTGGCTCTGCCCCTTCCCAGCTGTGGGACCTTGAGCAAGTTACTTAACTTTCCTGTGCCTCAGTTTCCTCCTCTAGCCGAACCTTGCGAGGATTAAAAAAATTAAAATAGGACTTACTATGTGCTAGGCACCCTTCTAAGTGCTTTTAATATAAGAAGGCACCATCTGAGCATCCCTGTGGGGAAGATATTATCAGACCCATTCTATACGGGGGGGACACTAAGGCACAGAGAGGTTAAGTAACTTGCCTGAGATCTCACAGCTAAGAAACAATGGAGCTTGGATTGGAACCCACAGAGTTTCAATCGAGAGGACATACCCTTTGGTCACTCTGCTAGAGCACCTCTCATCTTAATGCACTAACACAGCCAAAGAATTCAGGACAGAGCCTAGATTGGAGTAGGAGTAGCATAAATGGCAGTTGTGGTTATCATCTTACCAATATTATGAGTAATATAAGAACAGCTCCAAGATATTAGCAGAAAAAAAACAAGAAACCCCAGAAAGGTCCCATGTAGTTGAGTCCCAATTATGTAAAAAGAAAAAAGCCAAAAAAAAAAAAAATCCCCACCTAAACATGATATGTGTTCGCAGACAGAGAGAGAGAGGCAGACAGACAGACAGACAGACACACACACACACACACACACACACAGAGGGGTAGGGAAGGAGTCCCAGCTATTAGTAGAAGCTTCCTCTGGGGTGGATGGCACCCCAGGGAACACGTATTTCTTTTACTTTTTTCTTTATACATTTTCTTTTGTATTTTGAATATGATTTTTTTGAAGTAAAAAATATATTCCTATATTAGTTCACAATAAAATATTACTTTTTAGAGCAGGCTATGAAATTGCACACAAAGCATGATCTCAGCCGTGTTTAGAAACACACAGAAAGGAAGGCCAACAGAATGGAATGGCGTCAAATGTCAAGGGACGCTGCCGTTGTGGGTGGAATTATAGATTTCTTCTCTCTGTTGCTCTGGAATTTCCAAAGGTACAATGAGGAGCGTGCATTTTTTTCTCTAATAAAAATGTGAAGTTCCTTTAAAGAGAAGCCAGGGTGCGGGGCTCAAGCAGGAGCCGCCTGGGTTCAGGTTATGGCCCCGCAGAGTGATGGGGCGCGGTGGGCTGACGCAGCCTGAAGCTTGAGGTTGCCCCGCCACGGCCCGTCACTGGGACCGAGCCTAGAGCCACGTCCCTTCCCTCCCCTGTCCCGATCATCCCGGTCCTCTGGCCTAAGAATTTCCTTGTTCCAGAGACACGACCAACTCCTGAATGAGTAGCTGCCAGATGAATTATTTTTCTAAGAGAAAGAGAAAAAATAAAAATAAAACTGACCTATTTCAACAGGTTTCCTGGCTCAGGGCCCACTGTGGATTCAAAATTGTGATGTAATTCTCACCAGAAGCAATAACAGAACTGAATCTCTCCCTATCTCTGTCCGCAGACACACCCGATGTTCTGTCCTTCAGGAGGAAGGAGTGGGTGGGAGGAGAAGGGCCTGCATTGGGTTACGTGCCAGGCTGGGGCAAAGGGACACTAAAACCGCAGTCCAGGAGGGGACACACAGTCCACTTGATATGTTTAGGAACCAGTTCATCAGACCCTCCCAGAAACCTCAGGCAATATACAGCACTAAACCCATTTTTACAGATGAGGAAACAGGCTCAGAGAGGTCACACCTTTGCCAGGGTCACACAGTCTTAGTGGGCAAAAGAGCCAGACTTCTAATGAGTTTTGTTTTATACTAGTAATTCGTTCTCTCAGTTAAAACAAATGAAACAAACCAGAGTATGGAGTAAAAAACTAAGTTTCCCGATAGCTGCTAACAGCTCAGAGCTGCATCCTTCTCCAGGTGACTGCTCTTGGCTGGTGGGAGGTCTCCTTGCCTCGAGATCCTTGAGAGGTTATGTGACCCCCTTCCCCACCCCTCCCCCGCACATCACCCTGCAGCCTTTAGCCAGGGATGTGGGTAATAATAGCCTGGCCCCCCTGTTAATGGGTAGGACAAACTGTGGCATATGCCACAGCGCTCCATGAAATCAGGCTGTGATTAGACCTCCCCTGAACACACGTTTCTGCTTGTCCTTTCACATCCCCCACACCCTTCCAGTTCCTCCGAGAGCCCTCTTTCAATAACTCACTTGCAGAAAATCTTAGGCTCTGCCTCTTGGGAACCTGACCTGAGAGACAGCCCCCAACACACCAACGTGGCTACTCTCCAGAGGGAATCCCTGTTAGCAATTTCATGGGTTCTGTAATCCAGAAACTCTCCAAATGCATGCACAGTTGATTACATTGTCCCCCCCAAAAAAGAGTAAGGAGAATCTCATGCTACCAGCTATTTTCAGCTTGCCCTGTTTGCTGACACGTCCTGGTCATCTCGTCATTTCTGCACACCCAGCTCTGCCTAACGGAGGGGTCTTGCTGGAGCAGAAGGCTGTCGGGAATACTCACATTCGCAGTGCAAATTGGGTAAACTGATGTTCAGGCTGACGTCAATTTTGCCCCCACTGTCCTTGTCCGGGTCATCAACGTAGAGCTCATTCACGCTAAGGGAGACAAGTACAGAAAGAAGCCTTTGTTGAGATGGGGCACCATCCCAGCTGCGGGGGCCAGCCAGGGGCCATGTCCCTTGGTGACCACTGCTCAAATAACTAGAACCCCCATCTTGAGGAAGCGTGTGCCTGCTCAGGCACAGGGGATCAGGGCTCCCATCTGGAGGGCCCTCTCCAAATGCTGGCTTTACCACTTAGAAAGAGAGGGATACTTTCAGAGTCAGACACATTCAAGTTCCAATCCTGGCTCTGCCACTTTCTATGTGAACTCGTCAGGTAACTTCACCTCTGTGAACTGTTAAATGGGATACTACCACTCACTATTAACAGGGTGTCTGAACACTTGAGAAATGGGAGTCTTACTAGGCATCAGGGCCTGGCAGCACCGGGCACATGGTACCTTACTCCCTACTCTCTTTTTTTTTTTTTTTTTTTTTTACTCCCTACTCTCTCGAGCCCCCTCCCACTCAACTGGGAAAAGGGGATTCCCTGGGTGGTCATCTTCAGTGTCCAGCGCTCATAAAGCCCTGGGGCAAGCACCAGGCTGGAGACATGACTAGACTGATATATTAGTGTTCTGTGGCTACCCCAAATTGTCACAAAGCTGGTGGCTTAAAAACAACACACATTTGTTATCTTGCACTCCTGGAGGTCAGAAGTGTAACACAGGTCTGCAGGGCTGTGCTCCTTCTGGAGGCTCCAGGTCAGAATCCATTGTCTTGCCTTTCTCAGCTTCTAGAGGCTGCCTAGGCTCACAGCACCTCCTCCACCTTCAAACACAGTAGAGCCACATGGCATCTTCACCCCTCTCTGACCTCCTAACTCCCTCTTACAGCAACTTTGTCAGTTCACTTTGCCCATCGGAAAACCCAGGGTCATCTCCCTAGCTCAAGATGCTCAACGGAATCCCATTTATAAAATTCCTTTGGCCACGTAAGGTGACACATTGACAGGTCTCAGGGGTAGGGATGTGGGCACCTTTGTGAAGAGAGGTCCAGTGTGGGGGTAGGGCGCTCCAGGGACAGCCATGCCACCTTGCTCTCCAGGACAAGGGCACCACACTGGGATCTGTGAGCAACATGAATTTATTCAACAAATACTTTTGGAGTGCCTACTACCTGTCAGGCTTTAAAGACAGTGGGTAACCAGTCAGGCGTGATCTCTGCCTTCCTCAACCTTACAGACACTGCACGACACCCAAATAGATACCTTCCACCAGCTATGACTGTTGCACTGTCTGAAAGCTGTGGGGTGCCATGGGAGGGAGGAACAGGGCCACCGACCTCTGGGGAGGGTGGGCCAGAGGGACTTCTCTGAGGAGATGGGAGTTGAGGCTTCGGGGATGAGGAGGCTGTCCTAGCAAAGAGGGAGGGTGATCCCTGGGACAGAGTGTGCAAAGGCCTGGAAGTGGCGGATTTGGGGAACTGAGTGAAGGTCACTGTGGTTGCAGTGTAGAGCAGAGGGAAGTGGGCTGTGTGTTGTAGCTGGAGAATGGACAGGGGCTGTGTCAGGCGGGCTCAGAGGCCCTGGGAAGGCCTTCACCTCCTGGGCGCAGCGGCACGGTCAGGCTTACACTTTAACAAACTGACCGGAGGGGCCACTGTCACTGGGGAGACCACACGGGAGGCTGAGGCAGTAGTGCAGGGGACAGATGGCGGCCTGGACGGGTATGTGTGTGTGTGGGGGGTGGACAGGAGGGAGGGATGGAAGATATGGCGTGCTAGAGCAGGCAGGACTCGCTGCTGGATGGGGCGGGGTGGGGTGGGGTGGGGTGACGGAGGCATGCAGGCAGACTGCCACATTCTTTCTGGAACCCTCTGTTGGACTGGGAGCCCCTGGAAGAAGAGCAGTGGGGAGGGAAAGGTACCGAGTTCCACGTGGCTGTGCTGAGCTCGAAGTGTCTTGGAGATATCCCCGAGGAGCTGCTGAGTAGACACTGGATGGCCGTGTCTGAAGCCCACTTCTGATTCCCAGAGCACTCCCCATGGGGAGAAGGAACGGAATATAAAGACTTGGCCTAGTGAACAGCTATGGGGGCAGCTTGAAGTGGCTGGGCTGTGGCTATTGCAAACATTAACCAGGGTCCTGCCCACAGGCTAGAGAATAAAGGCTTGCAGCTCTAAGCAATTCAACTCCCGGGAAGCCCTGTAAATAGCCTCATCTTTGGGAAAGAGTGGCCACAGCGAGGGCATTTTTAATCAGACCCTGTCTTTATGCTCTTAGCCCCTAATGTGATGTAGCTGATGCTCAGTTAAGAAACAGTGGGCTCAAAAAGTCACCTGGGGCTTGTCTGCTTTCTGCCTGAGAGCCAGGCTTTCCAGGGCTCATGCTATCTCCCCTGCTCTCGCTCTCAACATCTAGGGTCAAGGGCGGAAAAAGGGAGGGAGGGGCGGGCTGGCTCTCTGAGGCCACACACAGGCTGTGGGGCGGGAAGATAGGAGCCTGTGCTTGGCAGGCTCATAGCGCTGGCCCCTCTCAGGGAACAAAAAGAACAAACGAGCCAGTGGGAGAGGAGCAAGCAGGACCTCAGGAGGTATGCCGAAGGATGGATTATCTCCACAGCCAAATTCTCCTCCTCAGCCTTCAGAGCCCCATTTCTACGCCAGCCTTGATTTGCAACTCCAAAGGGTTGTTGAGTGGTGAGACTGCTAGGTGATTAACAGACGGTCATGGAGAGGAGACCCTGCCTTCCCTTCCCAAACAAGCGAGACTCTTCCCTGAAGCCACTCACTTTTCCCGCCTGGGAGGCGGGGCCTCAGCACATCGCTGAGGGATTGTGGGATGATGTCATCCCCCGGCAATCCTCTGGAGGTGACCTCAGTGCAGAAAGAGGTGAATCCCAGGTGTGGCACCAAGGTGAGCTCACCCTGGAGGCCCCAGGGTGCCTCTCCCAGCTCACAGAGCCCAGGCTACCTAGTGCCACGTAGAATGAAGGGGCTGAGGTGCTCGGGAGAGACAGAAAGCCTGCAGAGCTCGACCGGTCTGGTTACGTAAGGCTAGAACTCGCTGCTCCCAGGTGCCTTCCTAAAGGGCTCTGGGTGGCCAGATAAATGCAGGTCCACCACCTGTGCCGCCTACCCAACGAGGCCCCAACTGCCACCTTCTGAATGCAAGGCAGATGTTCCAAGGCTGTTGACTTCCTGCTACCCCGAGCCCGCGCTGCAGGCCGGCCCATAGCCCACCCACAGATGCCTGCCAAGGCTAGCTAACTTTAATGGCTGGGGCTGAAAGAATTTTTTTTTTTTTAATTAATTAATTTATTTAAGGGGGGAGCGGCAGGGGCAGAGGGAGAGAGAGAATCTCAAGCAAACTCCACTGAGCGTGGAGCCTGACGTGGGGCTTGATCCCAGAACCCTGAGATCATGACCTGAGCCGAAATCAACAGCTGGATGCTTAACCCACTGAGCCACCCAGGCACCCCTGGGGCTGAACTGATTTTAAAAGATGAACGGATAGCCAGAAATCAACCTACCTGGAAGGGCAATAAAAGCTTTTTGTCGATTTACTGCTGTCTCGGGACCCATGGGCCTGATTCCTCCTGTTACTAGCAAGGGTGATGAGAAGACCCAAGGGGCAGAGGCAGACAGATATGGGCTCACCTCCTGGCCCTGCCTCAAAGAAGCTGGGGAAACTGGGACAAGTTGCTTCACCCCTCTGAGCCTCGGTTTCCTTAACTGTAAAACTGGGAAAGCTTTCTATGAAGTCTGAAGACAGGCAAACTTAATCTCTGGTAATAAAAGTCACAATAGTGTGGTGGTGGTGGTGGTGGGAGATGCTGACTGGGAGGGGGCAAAAGGGAGGCTTCCAGGTGGTGGATAGGTGTTGTCTTGATGGGGTGATGGTGACATGGGTGTAAGCACAGGCAAGCAGTCATCAAGTCTCACCTTTAAGATCTGTGCGCTTTGCTGTCTCTAAGTTACATACACCTCTCAAAAAGAAGGGAAGAAAACCAGGAAGGAGGGAAGGGCGAAGAGGAAGACAGAAGGAGAAAGAACAAGAAAGGGGTCAGGATTCAGGCTACTTCCCAGGGCTGTGAGCAATAAAGCTGCAGGCTGCCCCAGGACGGGGGTGCGTATGTTACTCACTTCTCTGAGGGCCTTGCGCAGGCCTTTCTCGGTAAAGAGCATAAAGCATCATGGTGAAGTCCAGACTCGCAGGGTTCAAGTCCCGGCTCTGCCACCTTCTAGCTGATTGACCTTATGCCAAGGGGCTTTGCCTCTACCAGGCTCAGTTTTCCCAGATGTAAAACAGGGACAATCATGGACAGGCATAATCTTAGTCAACTGTTAAGTGCTCGATAAGAAAGTGTCCCCTACTTTTATTGTTCTCACAAATATCAGTGTTTTCGGAGTTGCTAATAACAGGTATCCACCTCACAGCACTGTGGTAAGGACTGTGCTGAGGGGCCCACAGCTGGTGTATTAAATCGACAACATGCCAATTATGACCTGCTGAACGAGGGGGCACAAGCCACCCACACAGTGTTGCCAGGTAGCTCCCTCAGCATCCGAGCTCCCCGCTTTGGGGAAGTGAAACCCACAGGGTCATTTTGATTGAAGGCACAGTTTCGATACACCCGCACAAAGGAAGAAAGAGTCCCAAGATTTATTACTTACAGATCCCAGGAATGGGGGTGTGTATGCCATGGGCCAGGGGGAGGGCAGGAGCGAGCAGGAGATAGAGAGCAGGGTAGCGAGCACTTAGTACTTATATGATGATCGGGGCAGAGGTCACCAACTCTCCTCCCGCCTTAACTCTAAGTAGTTATTTGAAAAGGTGCCCCGGGAAAGTAAAAGCAGGCACTCAGGGCGGGCATCCTCAACTCAAAAGTCCTTGTCTCAGTGTCCAGACTCTGAGCGCGAGTAGGCTTATCATACTGTAAAATGCTTAGGCAGCAACCCAGAAAAACAAAGTTTGTTCTCCTCAAAAAGTTGCTTTTCTCATCACAAGGATTAATGTGTTAATGGATGTAAGGTGCTTTACAGCCCCTGGTA